GGAGGAGCCCTCCTTGGCCTAGTTTGCCTGCTGGCTCTGCAGCCCTGCAGCCTGAGCTCATGCTGAGGACCAAGGCCTGCTGAAGAAGCAGACAAATGCTCCCTTTCCAAGAGCCAGAGTGGAGCTCTGCAAACAGTGATTGAAGGAAGTCAGTGCACACAGGGAAAAATTGTCTCACTCTCAGGACAGGGCATACGAGTGGGCACAGTTGCAAAGAGAAACCTGCTCTCTCTCAGATTTCTACAAAGCACATAAGAATGAAATAAAATATAACTACCTATAGAGAGAAAAATAATGTTCATTTGCCTCAAGTCAGGTAGTGAGATTAAGATAAGTGTATTTGCAGTACCAAATCTAATGAACATATTCATCTAATACAATATTAGCGCAGGTAACATTACTCATACCATGTTAATATTAAGGCAAAGAAATAAATAAGAGTTATCATCCTAAATCCATATTGTAAAGTAACACCCGAAAGAAGAAAGTAAAGAAGTTAAAATCAATTTACTTTTAAACTGAGTAATTTGAAGTTGAACAAAAATCAGTTATTGCACAAGACACCTGAACAAAATCTAAATACTTTTGTCACTGAGAACAGCCTGAGGGTAGGAAACAACTATGAATGTCACAATAATATTACCCAATGCAAACGAAGCAAATAATTTCATCATGGCCGCTTGTTTCTGCTTTGGCGAGATTGCACGTAGAAAAGTGTGCCTCATGATTGAGAGCCTCAATGTCTGATTGGTTCAACATGGCCCATTAGAAGAAGGTAAATGGCAATAAGAAAAGCATTTCAGAGACCTAGAGAGAGAGAAAAAAAAAATTAGCTAATGGCCAGTGAAGAAGAATTAAGCCATTGATATTATGTGAAGATGTTTCACCTGGGAGGTCGTAATGTAATCATCATCATCATAATGCATAGAACGCTGTGAAGATTGCATGCAAACAGTCTATACATGTGAGAATGATCATTGCACTACAAGAACAAACTCAGAAACAGGAAGCAGAAGTCACCTCAACATGCCCTGAGATATAAGTTTGACAATGGGGAGGATAAGCAGTTCAAAGAGGAAGGCTCTTGGCTGAATGGACACATGCGCTGAATCTTACAGAACTGATGAACACTGACTAGCCTGGCTGGCGAATGCTGGCCTTCCTACCAGAGGAGCACTCATGAACAGAGTCGCAGGGATAACATGGCTCTTTGTGCAAAGAGCCACAGAAGTTGTAGTGTTGCTGGAACATAAACTAAAAAGAAAGGATGCCGCTGCAAAGAACAGCAAAGGCCAGATTACAGAAAGCCTTCTACGTTAAAGAGTTTGAACTTTACTCCCTCAAGTTGGAAAACCCTACAAGTAATTAGCCATAGCGCCAATGGTGAGCCATCAGCATGTTGGAGACTGGTGAACAGAGATTGCTGAAGACCAACCAGGAAAGGTACGAGGACACCAACCTGTTGAAGAGCTGGATAAAAGAGGAGCTGAGCGAACAGAGTTGTAGGGATACAGAAAAGCACAGCATTTGGAAAGCCAGAGGAGTAGCAAGTTCTCTCTCTCTTTTTAAAAAAAATTTTTTTAGAGGTTTTGAATTAGGGTGTGTGCTCCCGGCAGGGGGCAGGGGAGACAGACACAGTGAGAGGGAAGGTGAGAAATTACCCCCTAGAGGGGATGGCCATACCACAATCCCTTCTCCTCCCTTCTCCTCCATTCTCCTCCCACAATCTTGGACACACATGCACATAAGCCCAATATTAGTTTCAAGCCACTGGGTCCAGGACTCGAACCAGGGTCGGCCATGTGGGAATCCAGCGATGTAACCACTACACCATCTGCTGGCCCCACAAGTTCTAATTAGCAGAGAACAATCAGAATAATTGAATAGATACTTCCTTGAGAAGTCCTTTTTCTTCAGAAAATTGAATTGAATCTCTAATCCCATTCCACAAATATATATGTATATATGTATTACATATACATATATACATATGATATTTATAGACAGATATGAGAAAAGAGAGTACACAATTGAATCTGTTCCTCTGTTTCAAATACTTAACCTAATATCTCTTGTCCTTCTATTTAAAGCATTCTCTTTTGTCTTGTCTTCCTGGGAAACAGAATACAGCCACTCAGCGTCATTCCGTCATCTTTCATATGTCTGATTTAGATCAGGTCTTTCTGATTTTCTTCAGCTCACTTAACCTAGGTCTTTACATTTTTCTTCAGAGTCCCTGCTACTCGAACGTTTTTGTTACACATACCTGGAATTTTGCCATATTCTGTATATTTTCTTTCCTGGGTGGGACCTAAAATCCAGAATATACTGAGGGCCTGGACAGTGGCGAGTGTGTTATCCACATGTGCCTCACCATCGTGCCTGCCTTTATACCAAGAAGGCTTTCCTGACAGCGCTTCTTTATGTTCTAATTGACAGCTTGGCTTCATCCTGCCAGCCAGTCTTAAGTTCTATTGGAAGACTTAAATGATCTTGCTGAAATCTTAGAATTGGAAGATACCGTAGGGTTCACTGAGTCCATTTTCCCACTTACTTAAGGATTTTTCCTACTGTAGTCCTCAAGTGCTGCCCAGTTCAAATAAGCCAAGAAAATGCCCTTCCCCTATAGGACATCCCCCCCCCCATTAATGTAACACATTGTGAAATCACTTTAGTACACCACAAGTAGCAATGTTTTTCTTTTATTAGAGAGAGAGAGAGACAAAGAAAGACAAATAAGCAGGAAGAGAGAGAGGAAAAGAGGAAAAGAGAGACAAAGAGGTATTTTTGACATGTCTCACTCCTGTCCCACCCAGGATTACGGGGATATGCAACCGCACCTCATGTGTTCAGATTGGCTCAGGAACTGAACCCAGGCCATCCATGAAGCTTCCAGTCTCCCAGTCAGTGGTGTTATCTGTGCACCTTAGTAACTGGACCCAGAGTAGCATTTTTAAAATCATGAAAAGAGGGCCACCCCAGTAGCACAGTAATTAAGGGAACCAAATCCCACATGGCCAACCATGGTTTGAACTCCAGCCCTGGAGGCTTGAAGGATGTACCATGTGCCCCAAATCCTGACAGGATGGAGAAATGGAGGAAAAGGGATTGCAAAGGGACGACACTTTATTTTTATTTATTGATTTAGAGAGAGAGATAATTTTGCCAGACTGCAATCCCTTCTCCTCTATTCTCCTCTTGGGATTTTTGGGCACACACACGTACTCAGTGTGAGTTTCAAGCCTCCAAATCAGGGACTCAAATGGTGGTCAGCCATGCAGGAGTCCAGCACCTTAGCCACTATGCCACCTGCTGGCCCCAGCATGATTATATTTATTAGAAAATGTTTTCTCTCTCTCTCTTGTCGTCCCCCCCCAACCCCCCGTAAGCACACACATCCCTTGGCAATAAAGAAATAATAATAATAATAGAATGGAATGGACAGGATAGGACAGAATGGATGAACCTAGGGAGGATTCGATGAAATATCATCTGTTAAATGCAGTTAGGGTAATTATCATTTCGTGAAATTTCTGTCTCCATTGGGGAAGGGGGAGATGTATGTGTGTGCGTGTTTGTGTGTGTGTGTGTGTGTGTGTGTGTGTCTGTGTGTGTAAGCTGTATTTCTCACCATATGTTACAGTCTATAACTTTCTATGCTGCCCTATAGAATTACTTTCACCAGTCCTAAGAAATTAGTCTAGGGAACCAGCAGTTAGCGTAATGGCTATGTCGCTGGACTCCCACGTAGTCGACCGCGGTTCGTGTCCCGGACCCGGTGGCTTAAAACTCACGCCGGGTGCGTGTGCGTGCATGCCCAAGATCCCAAGAGGAGAATGGAGGAGAAGGGATTGCGGTGTGACCATCCCCCCTGGGGGGTGATTTCTCGCTTTCTGTCTCTATGTCTCTCTCTGTCTGTCTGGCGAGCGCACGCGCCCTACAGTGAAAATCTCTCCAAAAAAAATTAGTCTATATTTTTATTTTATCAAGTTTTGCTTTCTTTAAAATTAATTTTTCAAGCTGGTAGCATCAGTTCAGCTCAACTATTCTTCATCTTTTTCCTGTTAATCTGTTCATTTAGGCTCACTGTAGCATCTGATCCAGGAACATTTTATCTAAATGAAGAATGTAAAGACTTTTATTAAAGACGTCCCTCCGCCCTCCCTCTCTCCCCTGCCTTTTTCCTTCTCTCCCTTATATTCTCCCTCCTCCTTCCATTCCTCCTCTCCTTTCTTTTTCCTCCTCCTCCTTCTTCCTTCTTCATCCTCTTTATTTTTCTCTTCTTCCTCCTCTTCTTTTTCCTCTTTTCCTCCTCTTTTTTTCTTCTCTCTCTGTCTCTCTCTCTCTGTTTCTCTCTCTCTCTGTCTCTCTCTCTCTCCTACTTTCTGATGTTTTCCTGATACTCAACTGGAAACTCCTCGTTTGTATTTTTTAGCAGCCCAAAGGAATAGCTGTCACTGCTACATCACTTCATGAAACTTGCATTCCTTTTCCAGCACCTCTACAGGGACAATTCAGTAAGTTCATGGAAACTGGAATTAAAGATCGAGTTTATTTTGGTGCAACGAAATGTGGAATGTTTTCCTAACATGCCTAGTATTTTCCTTAAAGCAATTTTCCATGAACTTTTTGAGACCCTGCTTTAGTATGCCAAGACACAGTTCTAGTAGATCACAACAGCCCCACACCCTTCTCCCTGTTCTCACTGCTTCTCTGCACACGATACTCACTGCAGCTTTTCTGCTGTTGTGGCTTTGCCAGATCTTTACTTTTGGATGGAGAGAAGACATCCGGCCCGGTGAGCCCCTGCACACCCGCAAGTTCTGCTTCGACGCCATCTCCCACAGCAGCCCAGTCACGCTTTATGACTGTCATGGCATGAAGGGGAACCAGTTCTGGGGATACCGGAAGGTAAGCGTCCATTGACTGCAGTCATCCTCAAACTGCCGTGGTTAGGCTTTTCAAACTTCAAGGTTTTCTTCAAAAAGACACCGTTTTGATATAAAGTGTTACCTGGACATACACACACGTTTGGAGACTACCAGCAATGACTAAGGGAAAGATACAGTGCACCAGAAGGGACTCACTTTTGATTTTGTGTGTGTCTGCCATAATCAGATACATTAGGTTATGATTGCATAATAGCTTTGAGTCAGAACACTGACCCTGTGAGGGCTTGGTCTAGCCTACCCTGGCAACTCATAAATGGAGGAAATACGCACCCTTAGTAAATATGCACATGCCGAATGTTTTTTCTTTTACTTTTTCTTTCTCTTTTCATGATGGAATACATGCATACACATGAGAATGAGAGAGAGAGACAGGACTACCCTCCAGTATCTGGTCACGCTCAGATGCCCTTCTTCCCAACTTCCAGTCCAACAGGTCTTGGACACATACATGCATGTGTAGAGTGTTTCAGGATAACCAGGCCATGAATTTGAACAGGAGTCACTTATGAGATCTGGCTTCTCTTGAGCAGCACATAACCACTGCACCATTGAGCTGGCCCTCACATACGTAATTTTTTTTGGGGGGTGAGGGGGATTTTTGCTATAGGGCACATGCACTTGCTGGAGAGACAGAGAGAGAGAGAGAGAGACAGTGAAAAATCACTATCTCCCGCAGGGATATGGCCACACCACAGTTCCTTATCCCTAACTCCTGGGATTTGGGGGTACACATGCACATGCACCCAGCATGAGTTTCAAGCCAATGAATAGGTCCAGGGCCCAAGCTGTGGTAAGCCGTGTGGGAGTCCAGCACCTTAACCACTAACCACCTGCTGACCCACATCTTAAGAATCTCAATTCATAATGCACATACACGGATTAACAGATCTATTCACTTATGCAAGAGGGTTGTCTTCAAAAGTTTGCGGAAAAATGCGTATTATGAATAAAACCTACATGGATTTCAAAATTCTCTGCCCCAAAATAAACTCATAATTGAATTCCATTTTTCCATGAACTTTTTGAAGTCCTCTTGTGTATTGCAGGCTCACATTTGGGAGCTGTCTGGATGAGACAATTCCATTAATATCATTATTTATATATTTATGTACATATTGTTGTTACACAGAAAGTGACCCAGATGTAATTTCTCCTAGTGTATCAAAGGAAAATTTAGTCAAAGAATTCAAAAGTTCAAAGCATTAAGAAGGTTAACGCCTAATAACAGAGAAATATTTCAAAGACAAATATAAAATCACATTTTATTATGGTAATAAAATAAAGCTATTAATTTATTGTTTTAAAACAGTTTCATCACAGTCCCCTTCAATAACTCTGTAGAATGTTGTGCAAAATTGTTTTTCAACTTCTTCCCTTTTTGAGGCTTAGCTTGGCTATTAATTAGCAAGTACAACATAAGCTCCATTCCAGAGCCAGATGGTGGCACAAGGGTAATGCAATTGGAACCATATGTGAAGGTCTTGGGTTCGCATACCTGGACCTCCCTGTGCACACTGGGCAAATGCACAAATGCCTGTGATCCTGGCTGGCTGACATTAGGGGAGACCACGTCATGAAGATTCTGTTAGGGGTGCCTGTCTTTCAGTCCTGTCTTCATCTCTCTGTGTATATCTCTTTCTTGTGGGAGAAATACATAAGTGGTAAAATTATATAAGGGGTGGTGTGGTGGTTAAAGCACTGAATCCTCCCCAGCCAGAGAGAAGATGTTTGGCTTATTTTTCGCATGCTCTGGCATACTCCAGCCCTACCTCAGGCTATGATGAACATGTACTTGGCTACGCTGTGGCTGAGGAAAGGTCGATGGCTCCTAAAATTAGAGATGGTTGGAAGGAAGGAGGTGCAGAGGGATAATGTAAGGGCCTATTGGTTTTGATACTTGTTCCCATTTCATAAGTGTTCAGGGTTCTACTTCTTTGAGGTGGGCGGCTACAACTAGGCCCACTCCAAGGCAGATTTGTCTGTATGAGTTTGTCATGCTCCCCAATACCCCCAGCACCTGGCAGGTGATGGCTATGTGGCCAGGAAAAGTATGAAACATCGGTCGCTACAGCCTCCTACAAAACTATGTATTAATACAAACAAAAGAGCCAATAAAAAGATAGTTTCAGATATAATAGGAGGTGGGAGGAATCAGTAAAAGGGAAACTTCACTGCTATCTTTATGAAATGTATAACAAATGATTAATCTTCTTAAAAAACATATATGAGTGATTAGCAGTTAGCATAATGGTTATGTTGCTGGACTCCCATGTAGTCGACCGCGGTTCAAATCCTGGACCTGGTGGCTTAAACTCACACTGGGCACGTGTGCGTGTGTGCCTAAGATCCCAAGAGGAGAATGGAGGAGAAGGGATTGCAGCGTGGCCATCCCCCCAGGGGGTGATTTCTTGCTTTCTGTCTCTCTGTCTTTCTAGTGAGCGCATGCGCCCTATAGCAAAAACCTCTCTCAAAAAAAAAAATATAGATAGATAGATACGATACATCTGAGTATGGTACAATACTGAAGACTTGGTTATAGTCTGACCTTCACAAAGCTACTTTCTGTATGCATCAATGAAAAAACAGATTCGCCATTTGCCTGGTAAGCCTATGGCCCCTAATCAATGGTACATTTCTCATCACTGTACATTCATAGTAAGAGATTCAGCCCATTCAATAATATGCAATTAAGACAAGAAAAAACAGTTGTTTTCATTAGAGAGCTCACAGAAGCTTACAGGTGGGTAAGACCAGCTAATACATGTGCATTCAGAGCTCCTAGGAATAACTAATAATAATAATAATAATAATAATAATAATAATAATAATAATTTAAAAACAGACTCCTCTGATTTCAAGAGGAACTCTTGTGAGCTTTAACACTTTAAACCTTTCTTAGGATCCTAAGGGATCTGTGAAAGGAAACCACTAGATGCAATTGTGCTGTGATTCTCCTGTCTGATCTTTCTGTAGCTGTTGGTCTTCCATTACTTAGGAAAAGGTCACACTCCTGTATTTATATAGCAAGCAAGGTATTTATACTTAATCAGGAATATACCAAAGGCTCAAAAAGGAAAGTCTGAAATCTCTCATCTTGGTTGATGACTCAGGACTATTCAATTGTACCTGTTTTAGAAAATCTCTCTTCTTTATTTCAAGTTCTGCCCAAGGCACAAAGAGAGAAAGCACGAAGAAAAAAAAATCTCTCTGGGATACTAATTTATCTATTGATATGCACCTCTGGGCACTGGGGCTTCCAATAGTTTAGCAATCTTTCTAGTAAGGGGATCCCACCTCCTTTTTTTAGCATATTCATTCATCAACCTTGATCCCTAAGACTGTACTAATTGCTTAAAGTGCTGCAGTGGGCCATCTCCTGAACCCTAAGATAAGCATCCTCATCACCTCTGTTAATGAGGCTTTGTGCTACTGCTTAATGCACATCACCTCCAACCCCATAGCCACCGGGGTAGTCCTAGGTGCGACGCAAGGAGAAACTGACACTAGCAGATTGGAGGTAGAGCCGATATTCAAACTCTTGGATGAATCTGGCTTTATAGTCTCTTGCTTTGTGTATGCATGTGCAAGAGAGAGTGGGTGAGGGGAAAGGGAGAGGAGAAAGCGAGGCCTGGCTGCACTTTTTTCTCCCATTCCTTATCCTGCTGAGATCCACTCACTTGCACCAAGCATGCTCTTTGTTTTTCGTTTAATTTGCTATAGGCATCACGTGGGATCCAGTCATCTTTGCCACCACACCACTGGCTGGCCCCTCGATGTGTTTTTCAAGTTGCCAGGGCCAGGATTCCAGCCCTGATAGGCCATGTAGGATCTGGCTCCCAGCTACGTGGAAATTTCTTGGAGAAAAAAGGTAGCTTGAAACTCCCTAGTTTGATTGAGTGAAGGTTGTTGTCAGGCCACACTTTCTGGTCCACCAGTGGCTCTCAGCTTTTAGTTATTTTCAGATGGGACATCGCTTTTGTGATGACAAAAGAAAAAGAAGGGCATCTCTAGTCTATGGTATTGTAAACACGTTCAGTCACTCAGCTGTATTACAACAGCGGGTACTCTGGATGAGGAGTACTGTTCCTGTTTTCTTTTACCACCAGGGGGACCCCTGTTACAAGAACATTGAATTGTTGAAACCACCTCAGTAAATCTATTTAAACCATCCTCCAACATCCCAAATAAGAAACTGTTTTTCCTTTCCTTTCCACATCCGGTGGGTCACAGAGGCTTGTCACACCCTCCGTCCTCTCTCATGGCTCCGAAATCCATCTCTTCTTTGCCATTTCTATAGCCCCTGCCTTGATTGCAGCCCTTCCCCCTCTTACCCCTAGATTACCGGGAGACCATCATAAAGGATTGACCTGCCCGCCCCCACCCCGGTTATTGCGCTGTGCTGTCATATACCTTCTTTTGGCTTCTCACTGAGTAGAAGATGAAGTGCCTTCACCCCGCATTTCTCACCCTGACCCTTCACAGTCTGGTCATAATGGCTGCTTGTCAGGCCTTTGAGTTAGTCAGGTTTAACCTGTCCCAAATCATCACAAAATTGCAATGTGATCTTGAACGTGCTATTTCACATCAGTGACTTTCTTCATCAATGTAAGAGACAATAATGGAGATAAACTGTGTGAGACTTCTAGCATAGTTTCTGACTGTATAATCAAATTTCCATCTGGGGACCACCTTCACAGTACAGTGATACTGCACTCCTTGAGAGAAGCCAGACCCCACAAGGTGACTGCAGTTAGAGTTCCCAGCCCAGTCAGCCCGAAACATGCCAGGCAAGGTACCCCATGCACGGTGGTTCTTTCTCTCTCTCTAGCGTGTATATTCACTCTTTCATGAATAAAAACATGTTTTTAAAAATTTCATTCTATATAGGCACTTTTTACATTGATGATAGTGGTGAGGCATATCCTGATATACCACATCATTAAAGTAATCTCTCCTAAG